GTATGAGTTGGAAGTTATGTGAACGTTGTAATAAGTAACAATATATGCTTCCGATTATCAGTTGTAAATTAAAATAATTCGTATCTTGTAAATATAGTGTGTCAGTATAATATAAAATTCTCTATTTTTAGACAATGCGATGAGAGTGGAACAGTCATATCTCTAGTATGTTCAGAGACAATCTTATTATTATTTATGTATATATCGTTTTAGAACTTTATTACTTTTTATTTTCTATATGAGGCTTTAAACCGAATCATTACAAATGTAAAGTCTATATTTCTCCAGACTATTAATTATCATAACGTGGCTTGTAATTTATCACGATCAATATCGCTTGCTTATATCCCATAGAAATTAAATGTAATATCATGCACCTCGACATTTTTCTAATCAGTGATACTAGATGCAAGAATGCGATATATGAAACACTCGATAATAGTCTATATTCTCACGTATATTTAATACAGGGATACAAAATGTGTGGCTGCCGGATTACAAGTTTTATATATCTGATTCGCCCGAGAGAAGGATTTTAATCCTGCGGCATACGAGATATTAAACGCAACAAATGCGATGCATCCGACATTAACTTTATCGTGACGCATACAAATCGAGTTTGGGAAACGAAACTGTAAGATACTTTATTTATAATGCAAACGTTAAAAACAATTCTGAATTATTATACATCCTACAATTTGTAATATTAGTTATTACTTTAGAATAAGACGGTAAAGTTCTCTTATCGTTACTTCTCATTAAATCTCGCAGATTATTGACGCGCAATAATGTAAGGAATAATTGCAACACAAATAATTTGAACCGTCGAGATTCTGCTACGACTCGCGCGTATATCGATAAGTATCGCAGCTTAATCTTTAAAGGAATAGAAAAAGTTGTTGCGCGTTCAAGATAGGATACTACTTTGAGATAAGAATCATATCGGACGACATTGCGAGGATCGGTAGTTCAGAGGTAGATCTCACGAGCGCGATTCTTATAAACGAAATATATGGCTGAAGGAAGCTCTCCTGGAATAAGCTGCGCTCAAGACTCGGGAAGATAATTCTCTCCGCGGGTTAGGTTCGAATCGTAATTGCATCGAGGTGAGAGAAGCAGGCGAGAATCGCGCACTGAACGTTGACGGTATACGCGCGCGCGAATACGAACCATTATCCCTGAACGTAATTGCACTACACTTCGCTCGTGCGCAACCTCTCCTTCCCATTACAGCGTCGCCATAGCATCGCCCGTTGCCTTCCCATTACAGCATCCACAGTTTCACAGCGCGACTGAGCGTAATAAATGCACCAGGCTGTCTCCCAATAGTATTCTCAATGATTTTACATAAGTCTTACGTCATTCTGATCAGCGGGGAAGATTCCGGACACGTCACACCGCGAGATTCTCGCGCGTTTGAAGAAATCAAGGAGATCCCCCGTGTGTATTAGCAAATTAAATCAAATGATTTTAGCGAAACGTTATAAGAGAAGTTTAACATTAATTAACTACCTGCTGAAGAAACGACGTAACGCAGCGCGGCGAAGGTCG